GAGTGGCCGGCCGGGCGGCACCAGCGCCCACAGTGCCGGGGCTCTCCAACCTGGGGGTGACCTGGACTTCCACTTCTGAAGAGGGGGTCCTGCAGGGCTGTGCCCCGTGCCCCCCCCACAGTGATACCCCAGAGAAATGCAGCACACGGAGGCCAAGCCGTCCTCCCCACCTTGCAGGGAGCCCGGACAGCCCCTCACGCCGACCGCCTGGGCCTGGTGGGTGGGGCCGGCTCCTCACACACGCAGGTGCTTCTGGAAAGCTGGGGCGGCCCCCCTGAGACCCCCCCCAGGGAGCACGTGGCCAGGCGCGAGCTGGAGCGGGGGTGCAGGTGCCAGAGGCCTGTCTCCCATGGGCCCTCACAGCGCCACAGGCCAGGCCAGGCCAGGCAGGGGCAGGGCCTGTAGCACCCAGGGGTGGCACCCGCAGCTCCGGCCTGGACCCTGCCCCGAGCTGATGCGGAGTCTGACAGCCGGTGGCCCACCCTTCCCAGCCGGGGGGGGGCAGGGGCTAGGTGGCTGGGGCAGCCCGGGCAGGAAATGGCAGTGCTGGAGGGGTCTGGAACATTCCTCCCAGCCTGCACCCGGAGCCAGTCCTGCTGGCAGCCAGTGCAGGACACGCCTCTGTCAGGCGCTGGGCTCCCGCACCCCAACACCCCCCGGCTCCAGGACACTGCACAGGGAGGGCTTTGATCGCCCGCCCTGAAACGGAGGGTCCCCGCTCCCCCCTCCACACCCCCTCCCCTCGGTCAGCTCCGGGGCTGCCCAACAACACAAGGGTTTGCGTTGGCTCCGGGCCAAACCCCGGAATGTGCCGGCTGGCTGCACGGCAGCCGTTCCTGGAACAGGGCGACAATGCGCGGCCTGTCTCTGCGACGTGGGCGGACGGGGCGCAGACTGCCCAGAGCCTCACGTGACTGGGGCGCGGGGGCCTCGAGACAAGGGTGAATGGGCTCGGGGCATCCAAAGACGCGGTGGGACTTGGAACTGGCCACCCGGGGGCCCCCGACCTGACCTGCGTGAGGTGTGGGGTGCAGGCAGCTAGGGGTACACCCTGCTGAGGGACCCTGATGAATGGGAACAGGACACCCCGACACTCAGACTCACGGGGACCTGGGGTTCCGCACTCAGGAGAGGGCACAAGCTAGGGGACCCTGGTCTCAGACGAACGTCTGGAAGGTCAGGCAGAGGACGTGCTGCCCAGGTACCTGGACACGTGGGGTCAGGGCGCTCAGCCATGCGTGGTCACGCGGACGCAGGGCCCGGGTTCTCGGCTGGTGGGGTTCAGACTGCAAGGTGGGGCACAGACCTGAGATACGCGGGAGGTGGGCGCCACACACGAGTGGGGCACGGAGGTGCCAGAACAAGGACAGGCACCGGCGCACACAGGCCGCGGCGTCCGCTGATGAACGTGCTCCGGGCATCCAAAGACACGGTGGGACGTGGAATTGGCACGCGGGGGCTCCTGGGACGCGGGCCTGCGTGTGAGACGGACAGGGGAGGTCGGGCCGCCAAGGCCCTGATGGATGGGGACAAGCCGCCCAAACACTCGAGTGACTATCGGAGAAGGGCACACCCACGCGCAGATGCCCGCCAGAGGCCGTGGAAATGGGGCAGATACCGCCGGGTCGAGGGCGGAAGGCCTTGCTCCCCGGTGTTCAGAGCAGTGGGCACAGGCTGCCCAGAGGCCCGGAGAACGAAGGTCCAGAACCCACAGTCCGAGCGGCGGGGCCCTGGGACCTGAGCCTTCGCGGGAGGAGGGTCCAGATGGCAGCCAGACCAGGAAGGGAACGAGTGGGCCACGCGTTCGGAGGGAGGGCGTGTGTCCAGACACCCGGGCGAACGAGGGTCCGACTGTCCACCCGCAGGACCAGGGTGTACCTCTGCAGACACACGCGGTGCTACCCAGGCCCCCCGAGGAGTCGGGACACGCACTACCCAGAAACGTGGGTGGTGGGTCCCAGCCGCACCCATGCTGAGAGGCTGGAGCCCGGCAGCCGGGCCCTCGGGAAGTAGGACAGGAGCAGCCGGGTCCCGCAGGGCCAGGGATCCTGCTGCCTGGGTGCCAGGCACCCCGAAGGTCAGGGCGCCGGGGTTCGTGTCGCCCCGGTACTCACACGGGCGGTACCACGTGCCCAGTTTCTCCACCATCCGGGCATTCCCGTGAGCCGAATTTGGGCTACAGAAATGCTGAGCTAGGATACAAGCCACCCGGATCCCGCGAGCAATGGGGCGCAGGCCCCAGAGCCCCGAAAACAGCCTGCAAGCGCTCAGAGGAGGGAGGGCTCCCAGGGGTTGACAGCTGGGCTCTCCAGTGGAGTGGGGTACAGGAGCAGGGACTCAGGCGAGTGGGGTATAGTCACCCAGCTACTCAGACTATGGGGTTCAGGGACTCAGACACTTGGACTAACGGGGCGAAAGAGCCAGACATCGGATGAGTGGGGCGGGGGCCCGGCGCAGAGCCCCGGACGCCTGGGTGGCGCAGGGTGGGTGATGGGAAGGAAAGACACAGAGTGAGACAGACGAGGGGCTCCCGCGGCTGGAGATGCCGCAGGAACAGGGCACGGACCTGCGTGCGATGTGTCAGGGGGACTCAGAGGGTCCAGCAGGTGGGGTGTGGGCATCCAGGCACCCTGGTGACGGCAGAACGGAGCCCCAGGACCCAGACTAAGGGGAGCGGACCCCCAGGCTTGGCGTGGGGTAAGGATGCTGCCGCCAGGGTGCCCCGGAGGAGCAGAGACCTGTGACGGGGTGAATGGGGCCCCCACAAAGCTGCGGAGGTCGGAGGTCCTGGCCACCAGGTTTCCTGGGCAGTCCACGAGGAGAGGGGTCTGGCCTCAGTCCTCTGACCGGGGCCTGTAGCACCAGCCACAGAGTGGTCACGTGGCCAGATTTCCAGGTGAGCCGGGGTGCTCACCCACGTACTCCAAGGAGCGAGCCTCACGTCCCCAGAACAGACGCAGGTTCTCAGAAGATGGGGAGCTCGGTGCAGGGAGCTGGCACCATAGCCCTGTTCAGAGGAGTGGGGTGCAGCCTCCCCAGTGCTTGGGTTGTGGGGTGCAGCCTCACCGGGAGCTCGGGTCATGGGGCACAGCCTCCCCAGTGCTCGGGTCGTGGGGCGCAGCCTCCCCAGTGCTTGGGTCATGGGGTACAGCCTCCCTGGGTGCTCGGGTTGTGAGGTGCAACCTCCCTGGGAGCTCAGGTCATGGGGTGCAGCCTCCCCAGTGCTCGGGTCGTGGGGCGCAGCCTCCCCAGTGCTTGGGTCGTGGGGTGCAGCCTCCCCGGGAGCTCGGCTTGTGGGTGCAGCCTCCCTGGGAGCTCAGGTCATGGGTGCAGCCTCCCCAGTGCTCGGGTCGTGGGGTGCAGCCTCCCAGGAGGAAGACAGCCTTGAGGAGCCGCGGTTGCATGGGCCGACGCAGAGAACGGGCACGGGACACGTCAAATCACAGAGGACTGTGGCCCGCTAGGTGGCCCCTCCTCGGCCGTCCCTGGCTCCAGCTCAAGGGGGTGCCCCGGCGGACGGGCGCAGCGGCGGGGTCACGGGGGCGGGGAGCGCACATGGCGAGCCAGCACGTCTCCCGTGTGTGCGCCAGCAGCTCACGGCTCCCCCAGCTGGCGCTTGCCCTGTGTTCCGACCTCAAACATTCCCCAGGCGGCCTCAAAGGAAGCTTCCCCGTCCAGGAGCCCCGCCAGGGTCTCTGTGGGGGTGGTGGCTGCCAAGCCGCCGTCTTGGGGGCCGCGGGGCTGGCCTCAGGCTGCCAGCTCTATTTGGTTTTCTCCTTCCTGCCCGGGAACCTCAGACACCGTCTCGCCACGGAGGCGCCCACAGCCCAGGGAAGGCACAAAGCCCTACACAGCCGGCGGGAGGGCGCACGCGGGGCGTGTAGCTCAGCTGCACTCTGGGCCCGGCACGGAGCCCCCGCCATGTGTTCCAGCAACGTGGTACCTGCTCACGGACGTGCCCTGCCGGCCCCCCGCCGCCTTCACTCTGTTGCCCCCAGACTGTTCCAGGGCAGGTCCTGCCCACGGAACACACTGGAAGGAGCCCCAGGAGACTAGCACGGGCACACACAAGCACACGCGTGCCCACTCATCCCCTGCTGGGCGCCGAAACATCCCGGCGCCTGGGCCGTGTCTCCCGGCAGTCCTGCCTGGCCAGCCCTGTGGCCGGGCCCTGGTGGGACAGGTTTTCCTGTTAAGCATTAACCAGCCCCATGTCTGACCAGCCGGCGCAGATAAGGGGTTAGGGGACACCCTGGCACGGAAGGCTGCTCAGAGTCGGGCCCAGGGGAGGGACTTGACCAGGGCGATTGGACCAGAGTGACTGGCCAGAGCAGCGCGAGGGAGCCACGATTACAGGCCCTGCTCGGGGTCCAGTTAAAGCAAGAGATGCTAAGGTCAGACTGCAGTGAGGACTTCTAAGCCGCTGGCTCACGGGCCGCCGGGTGAGCACTCAGGGACGGGTCAGCCCAGCAGGAGGCCAAGGCCCAGATGTGATGGCCTGAGGAGGTTCTCTGCGCCCCGAGAGCAGAAGTGGTCCCCGCGAGAGCCCCCAGCACCGCCTAGGCAGGTGGGGCCAGCAGCTCCCTGCAGCGGCCACTCGGTCCCTCCTGCTCATGCTGGGTTGCGCTGGAGCCAGCAGTCCCGGAAGGCGCTGTCCTCCAAACACCGCCCTGGGGTGCCCGACCCACTCAAATCTGGGCCAGCCTGGCCACCCCCCAACAAAGGCCGGCCTGACAGAGCTCAGTAGGGCCGAAGACGCACCCACCCGAGAGAGCCCTGGAGGCGGGCCGAGCCGGACACCAGCCCTGGCCCTCGGGGGAACTTCTTTGCCAAGGGAGGGCCCTGCCCTCGAGGGCCTGCGGTTCCGCCTGAGGTGGGGCTCCCTGAAGCCCCGCCCCCCACACCCCGGCCCAGGGAGAACGTCCCAGTCCCCAGAGCCAGAGCCATCCTGTGGGTGCCCAGGGTCTGAGAGGAGGCCTGGTGGTGGCCACAGCAAGCGTGGGCGTCAGGTGAGCGTGCTGCACCCCAAGTCCTCGGGGGAGCCCTGCTTTTCCAGAGGAGGGGCCGTGGAAACTCGCTCCCATTGAAGCAGAGAGAATCCCAGCAGGACGGGCGAGGAGGGAGTGAGCCCACCAGCCCACGAGACGCGCCAAGGAAGCCCGAGGGAGGGGGCTGGGCTCGGACTGGGGGGTTAACCCGGCTGGAATTCGGCACCAGGCGTGGGGCTTGGAGTGACGGGGGCCCCTGGAGGAGGTGGGGCTCACACAGGCCTTGAAGGGCGAGCAGGCTGGGGACACAGAGGGACATTCTAGGTGGGAGGAACAGCCGGAGCAAAGCTTGGCAGCCACAGGAGTGACCTGGCCGCCCCCGCCGGGAGGGGAGAGGTAGCTGGATTCGAGGAGCCGCGGGGCCTCCAGCAGGGGTGGCTGGCCAGGGGCATGATTTAGGAAGGACACCTGTCTCCTCTTGCTGGGAAAAAACAGTGTTAACCCCTAAAGAGGGTTTTCTGGCACGGCCACAGAACACAGACAACCAAAGCTAGACAATAGGAAGGACTGCCTGCCTCCCCGGGGGTGGCAGGTGCCGAGGCTGTCCAGGCAGGAGGGCTGAGCGCCCCTGGGGTGGGCAGGAAACCAGAGAGCCTCTCCGGGCCTCAGTGCTGCCTCTTGGTGTCTTCTCTGCCCGGGGAGCCAGGGCACCCTCCCCGGAAGCTGCAGGCCTGAGGCCGGACTCGCCTGCTGGAAAGACCTGCGGAGCAGATGGCGCCACCTGGTGGCCGCGTGCCTGCCAGAGCCTTTACCTGGCGGTCCCGAGGCACCTGCACCTGCCCAGGCCTGGCATTCCCAGGGCTAGCGGCCAGCGTCCCCAAGGTCCTGGGACCCTCCAGGGCCAGCTTCCAAGGCCCCCGTGGTCCCCTGGGGACAACCCACCAGGCCGGCTCAGGAGTCCCTGCCCTGTTAGACTACAGGAGGGGAGGACACCAGCAAAGCAGAGCACAGGCACGCTTGCACACGCACAAGCACGCTTGCACATGCACAGGCATGCCTGCACACGCAGAGGCACGCTTGCACACGCACAGACGGAGCTTCTGTATGGAAAACTGACCCCGAGTTCTCGACCATAAAAATCTCGAATGAAGATACTTTAATCCCAGAACCCAGGCAGGCTCTGGTATCTCAGAAAGGAAAAGTTGACTTTAAATCCCACGTGGGGAGCCGTGGCCTGTTTGAATCTGGCCCCAGGGACCCTGTGGGACCTTCAGAGCTCCCCCAGTCTGTTCCGTCACCCGCCATGTCACCCTGCCAGCCACGGTGGGGAGCCAGTCCCCCCCGGAGCATCCCCAGTGGGCAAGGGCTGCCTGGGCCGTCGAGCTTTGCTGACACTCACCCTCCCTTTGCAGGGGTCTCACCCACGGGGGCCCCTGACCAGGAGCAGCTACGTAATTTCCTGGCCAGCACAGAGTGATGGTGCACAGCCTCTGAGCGGAGGGCCCTGAGCACAGGCTGCAGCCCGAGTGGCCGGCTCTGCCCTCCGCATCCCTTTTGTACCTACGGCACCGCCAGGCCTGGCCCGCTGCTCCGGGGACAAGCTGGGCTCCTGGCCCCACCGGCCTCGGGAGTCACATCACGGGGCTCCCAGGCTCGGTCTGCTCACCCCAAACAGGGACTGCCGCACTACCTCGGGACAGCGCGCATGGAGCCCCTCGCGGGGCGGGCGGGCAGGCTGGTCGGCAGATTTGCTGAGACCTGGGTGCCCCCTCCCCTCTTTGCGCTGCAGCCCCCTTCTCTGAACACTGGGGCTTGGGTGGGCTCTGAGGCTGGAGCTGCCTCCCCGAGTCCACGGGGGTGTGGGGCAGTGATGCTGTGAGGGGTCCCTTTCTCTCTCTCCGTGTTCTGCCCCACACTGGGGGTTTGGGGGTGAGGGGATGTGGCCCTGGTCTGGGCTCCTAAGACCCCAGATGCGGCAAGAAGTATCGCAGGCTCTTGTGGGCAGAGGGGGGCGGCCCAAGTTGGAGGAATGGAGACTCCCAGCTGCTACTCCTGGCGTGGGAAGGCAGGGAGGAGGGTCAGTGCGTCCCATGGGGCACCTGGCCTCTTGCCTGCGGGTGGGAGGAGCCAGCCCAGCCAGGTGAGCCCCTGTCCCAAGCCCCAGGCAGGTAGGGTGTGAGTCTCCCACTCTCCTTCCCACCCGTGGGTGAAAGGGTGGCCCAGCAGGCAGGTAGCAAGTCCGGGCGGCGCTGAGTCAGCCTGGAGGAATGTTCTGGCTGCTCCTGGCTCCACCCTGCCCTGCCTGCCCCCACTGGCCCTGGTCCCCAGGTGCTGCTGGCCCTGAGCCCCGGCCAGGAACGCACCTTCAGCTGGGCCTGGGCTTGCTTAGAGGAGCTCCCACCGGGCCCGGGACCCGGCCCCATAGCCAGCCCCACCGGCGCCCCTCCCCCACGCCCCACAGAGCCCAGCCTCACGCTCCCACGTGGCTCCTGGGCTGGGCCCTCCGTGAACACGCTCCACCTGTGTGCCTGGCAGCTGTGGTGGGCCCTGGGGGTGTGGCAGGGATGTGACGGAACCCCAGTGAGATGAGACCCCCAGTGATGAGAGGGGACCCCAGGTCCCTGCCCCAGGAGAGAGGGCAGGGAGGGAGGGGCTTCCCGCAACGAGGGGGGCGCTCTGTCCAGGAGGGCACACAGGCTGTCCGGGCCTGGCCTGTTGGGCTGGGGCTGGGGGCCGAGGGGAGGGGCCAGGAGGCGAGGCCTGTGGCAGCCACGCTGGTGCTTTGGCCAAGGCCTGGCACCTCCCTCCCGCCAGCTTCCTGCCACTCTGAACACGCGGCCCTGGCCACCCCAGACTGCCTCCTGTCCGGATGGGGCAGCGGGCAGGGCCCTGGGCCGTCCCCCTAGGTGACCCAGCCTCCCTGGCTGTCTCCTCCAAGCCGCAGGGGAAGATGGGGCGCCCACCAGACGCCCACAGCACCCTGGCCCCAGCTGGCACCACGGAGGTGCTTGGGCTCATTCCGGACCTTGTTGCCAGGACACCCTGTGAGTTTCGGGACCCCTGGGAGGGCTGGGGGGGGCGGCCGAGCAGGGGCTCTGTCCACAGACGCATCTCAGCCCCTGTCCCCAGGGCCCTACTGGGCACTCGCCGTTGTCACTCTTGCCGCTGGCGTCTTCATTGCCCTCTGCCTCCTCTGTGTCTGCCGCCGCCGCCGCCGCCGCCGCAGGAAGGAGCCCGGAGACAAGGAGGCCGTGGGCCTGGGCAGTGCGCGCAGCACCATCACCCCCCACCTGGTGAGGAGCAGGCGCCGGCGCCTCCCGGGCCCAGCTCCACGCGGCTCGGTGCAGAGCGGGCAGCTCGAGGCCCAGGCTCGGGGGCTCAGGGCAGCTTAGGACGGTTGGGGCGAGCTCAGCCCAGGGACAGCCGGACCTCCCCAGAAGTGGGCACAGGAGGGGCCTTCCTGGCAGGGGAAGCAGACAGGCAGGGGGAGGGGAGGCAGCAAAAGACACAGAGGTCTGTCCGCGGGCCGTGGGGAGACACAGCAGGTTGTTGAGAGGGAGTGGTACAGGAGGTGCCATGCTGGGGCAGATCTGGCTGCTCCCAGAGAGCTAAGCTGAGGCTGTGAGCCCTTCTGGTGGCCTGGCCCTCCCTGGAGCTGCCAACCAGGCTCTGAAGGGGGCATGGTGCCAGCAGTGCCTGTCACCCGTGTCCCCACCCGCCCCAGGTGCAGCCGGATGTGGATAACCTGGGCAGTCCTGGGGAGCCCCAGCAGTGGGGGCGCCTGCAGCTGTCCCTGGAGTACGACTGTGGGAGCCAGGAGGTGAGGGGCCCACCGCGCAGGCCCAGCGGCTCCTCGGGTTCCGGCGGGGTGAGGGGCGGAGGGCAAATGCTGTGCCCTGGGTGTCGGGGGCTGCCGGGGGACAGCCCTGGTCTGAGCCCACCCCCCTGGCTCCCAGATCAGGGTGTGCCTGAAGCAGGCAGCCGACCTGAAGGCGACGGGCACGGCCGACCCCTACGCCCGCGTCAGCCTCTCCACCCAGGCCGGGCGCTGGCACGAGACGAAGGTGCACCGGGGCGTCCTCTGCCCCGTGTTCGACGAAACCTGCTGCTTCCACGTGAGTCTGGGCCGGGCCGCTGGGAGGGCCTGGGCCGGGGCGTGCGCCCGGCTCACACACCGCCCTCAGGTCCCGCAGGCGGAGCTGCCCGAGGCCACCCTGCAGGTGCAGCTGCTGGACTTCAAGCGCTTCTCCGGGCACGAGCCCCTGGGAGCGCTCAGCCTGCCCCTGGGCGCCATGGACCTGCAGCACGTCCTGGAGCGCTGGTACCAGCTGGGCCCGCCCGGCTCCGCCGAGGTGAGCCGCTGACTGCCAGGCCCAGCCCGGCCTGTGGCCCTGAGGTGGGGCCTGCTGGGACCCTGCCCCACGTGCCACCAGGATGCGGAGGCCCGACGCCCGCTCAGCAGGCACGGCCCCTGCCGGGCTGAGCGCCCCCTGCCGCCCGCAGACCGAGCCTCTGGGGGAGCTGTGCGTGTCGCTGCGGTACGTGCCCGGCGCGGGCCGGCTGTCCGTGGTGGTGCTGGAGGCCCGCGGCCTGCGTTCGGGGCTGACAGGTGAGAGCCGCTCCTGCCCAGCCGGCGCACGGAGGGCCGGGGCCCGAGCTCGGCCCTCGGCCTGGAACAGCCTCCGTCCCGTCTCCCCTGCCCAGAGCTCTACGTGAAGGTGCAGCTCATGCTGGACCAGCGGAAGTGGAAGAAGAGGAGGACGTCTGCCAGGAAGGGCTCTGCCAGCCCCTACTTCAACGAGGCCTTCACCTTCCCCCTGCCCGTCGGCGAGGTCCAGGTGGGCACCGGGAGCACGGTGGGGGGCGGCCCCACCGGCCTGCACTGACCACAGCCTTCCTCTCCCGCCCCGGCCCGCCGGCCTGCCCTGCGCAGAGCGTGGACCTGGTGCTGGCCGTCTGGGCCCGCGGCCCACAGCTCCGGGCCGAGCCCGTGGGCAAGGTGCTGCTCGGCGCCCACGCCTCCGGCCAGCCCCTGCAGCACTGGGCAGATGTGCTGGCCCACGCCCGGCGGCCCGTCGCCCAGTGGCACCGCCTGCGGCCCGCGGGGGAGGTGGACCGCGTGCTGGCTCTGCGGCCCCGCCGGCGCCTGCCCTTGCCTCACTCCTGAGAGCACCCTGCGCCTCGTCACCCCAGGCCGGGCGGGGGCGCCGTCCAGGCTGCAATAAACGCCTTCTCCTGCCGTGTGTGTCCCGCTCCAGCGCCGTGGGGACGTGGCCGCAGGGCTGGGCTCCGTCCTCAGCACGACGGCCCCTCACCAGACCCAGGCCCCGTGGTGTCTGGCTGGTGCCGGGCCCTGGGTGGAAGGGGACCCCGCGGGAGTCCTAACCCCCTCCGGCCCCCATGGGAGAGGCGGGAGGTGGGCTGCTGCGGGGCGCAGCGTGGGGGGAGGGACCCCAACACCTTTGGAGGCCGGCTGCGGGGCCTCCCCCATGTGAACAGCAGGGGGCAGTGCACACCTTCGGAAGCGGCTCAGGGCTTTGGGGGTGCAGCCCTGGCCGGAAGTGCCTCTCCATCCCCACACATCTGGGCTCCCGCACCGCGTGTCTCCTCTGACCCGCCCCGTGGCCTCGGGGCAGGCAGCGCTGGGGCCCAGAGCCCTGGGAGTGGGCACCAAGTCACCGTGCGGTGCCTCTCCAGGGTGGGGGCCCTGGGGGCGGCGGGGGACAGCCAGGCGGCTGAGCCCCAGCAGGTCAGAGAGAGGCTCCCAGGCGGCAGCGCCGCTGCCCTCGGGTGCAAGGATGTGTCCGAGCTGCCCAGGTGGAGGGCTCGGGGCAGGCTGGCCCCACCCCTGACTCTGCTGCCGGGGGGGAAGCCAGGTTCACGCTGTGCAGGCCGGGGAGGCCGTGTTTGGGGGTCTGGGCCTGACCCGGGACGGGCTTGCCGCCGGGAGGGACAGTCGATGGCAAGGCCCAGCAGGGAGAGGCCGCTGCTGTCACCAGGAGCCGTGAGGCTCGGTGGCCAAGCAGGCTGGACACTGACTTGGACAGGCCTCGAGGAGTGACCTCTGAGCCTCCGCGGGGCCAGGAGCAGAGCCGCGCACAGCTGTCCCCGGGCTCCTTGCAAGGACCAGGAGGCATCTCGGACTCGTCACCGGTCTCTAAATAGAGCAACCCAACCGCGCCCCCGCAAGACTTCTTGGCCTGGACGGCAGCACGCGGCCCGGGCAGGTGCGGAGGCCTCTCGCTGTCTGTGCCCCCATTGGTCTGGGGAGGGTTCCATGCCCTTTCCGAGCAGGGGCCCAGCCCGGGGCAGGCCATTTATACCCCTCCCCGGGCCCACCCGGCCAGCTTGCCTCTGCCGACCGACCTCTCGCCCAGCACCGCCACCCGGACTCTAGGTGAGGCCGGCCTGGCCCGCCGAGGCCGGGGACAGGCCGTGCTCCACTAGCTCGCAGGGGGCTTCCCGGGGCAACGGGCCTGGGGGCCTGGGGGCTGCTGCCAGAGCCCTCTCTGGGGGTCTCTTTGGGCTGGAGAGAAAAGTGGACTTAGGGGCGGCTGGGGGGACAGGGTCCTGGGCCTGCAGCTCACGGCCAGGCCTCACCTCTGGGGACCCTGGAAAGAGAATTTTGGGGTCAAGCAACCCTAGGACCTGAGCCCCCAGGCCAAACTGGGGAGCGATTTTCTTACTGGACTTAGGCCCAAAGCCAAAGGAGCAGAGATAAAAATAACAGCGTCGCCGAGGCCACCTGCCCTGGCCCGTCCCTCCCTCCCTTGGGGACAGCTGCAGCTCCTCAGGCCCCGCCTGGGACATTTTGGGAACACTTTCTCCTCTTACTTCTCACCCTGGGGAATTCCAAGACATCAACTGCCCTTGAGGAGGTCGGAGGTGGGGGTAGGGCAGGGGCTGGTTGCCAAGAGGCCCGTGCCCCTCGCCGCTGGGCGCCGGCATCCGCAGGCGGTGGCTGACACCTCTGCCTTTCTCTCTGCAGGCTCTCAGCTCAGGACCTCAGGATGGGAGAGTAAGTGGTCCCTGGGTGTCCCCGCGGCCCCTCCCCCAGCAGCCCTCCCCACGGCCTGTCTGTCCCATGGCCACGGCGCTTACGTCTCTCTCCTCTTTCCCTCTCCCCTTGTGGCCCCTCCCGGGACAGTGATGAGGTGAGTACCTGCTTGCGGGGAGGAGACACGGTGGGGGGTGGGGATGGGTGGGTCAGAGGTCAGAGCTGCAAAGCCCTGAGGCCCAGGGAAGACGGCCCAGTCCCCACCATGAAGGTGTCCCACTCGCCTGCCAAGACACATGGCTGAAAGAGGAAGTGGCCGTCGCGGCCTGTGGGGCAGGGGCTGGGGCTGCGGCCCGGTCACAGCCAGTCGCTTCTTGTTTCTGACTTCTGGGTCCCCGGCCCTCACCCCATAGTCCCCAACCCCAGCCCTTCCAACGCGTGGTGTCACCTGGGTGAAGTGCCACCCACCAGGAAGCCCCGTGTCTGCAGCAAGGCCTGGCAGGCGGGAGCCCCTGGCCTGGGCAGGCATGGAGGGTGCAGGGTGGGGGGCGTCCGGGCCGGGCCCTGACTCTGCCCTCTCCCCGCCCCGCAGAAGCGCAACAGGGCCATCACGGCCCGGAGGCAGCACCTGAAGGTAGGCGTGGGGTCCGGGGGGCTGCGGGCGGGTCTGCAGGGGGAGTGCAGCCCCTCACCACCCGCGCCCCGCAGAGCGTGATGCTGCAGATCGCGGCCACGGAGCTGGAGAAGGAGGAGAGCCGCCGCGAGGCCGAGAAGGAGAACTACCTGGCGGAGCACTGCCCCCCGCTGCACATCCCCGGCTCCATGGCGGAGGTGCAGGTACCCGCCCGCCCCGCCGCCCGGCCTGCTGCCTCGGTCTCCCCGCCTGGCGAGAGGCACGCAGGGGCCAGGGCGGGGCGGGCGACAGTGGCTGTGCAGTGCGGGGACAGCCACCCACTCACTGCGCCCGCCCCCAGGAGCTCTGCAAACAGCTGCACGCCAAGATCGACATGGCCGAGGAGGAGAAGTACGACATGGAGGTGAAAGTGCAGAAGAGCGGCAAGGAGGTGAGGGCCCCGCCAAGAGGTGAGGGGCGCGGCGTCGGGGGGCCGGGGCTGGCTGGCGCCTGGGTGCCACGGCTTCCCCCCCACAGCTGGAGGACATGAACCAGAAGCTGTTCGACCTGCGGGGCAAGTTCAAGCGGCCGCCGTTGCGCAGGGTGCGCATGTCGGCCGACGCCATGCTCAAGGCCCTGCTGGGCTCCAAGCACAAGGTGTGCATGGACCTGCGGGCCAACCTGAAGCAGGTCAAGAAGGAGGACACGGAGAAGGTGCGCCCGCGGCAGGACCCCGCGCCCCCAGGGCCCGGAGGGGCGGTGGGGGGACTCCACGGCCTGAGTCCGGGGGAAACTGAGGCTGAGAGTGGCTGGACCCGGGTGCGTGGCGTGGGTGGGCTGAGCCCTCTGCCGCCCCCAGGAGCGGGACCTGCGCGACGTGGGTGACTGGAGGAAGAACATCGAGGAGAAGTCCGGCATGGAGGGCAGGAAGAAGATGTTCGAGACCGAGTCCTAGGCCGCCTGCCCGGCGCCCCCAGCAGAGCAGGCGGGGAGGGGAGGCCCGGCCCCACCTCCACTGTCAATAAAGATTCGAATCCCCGTGACTGGACTGGTCTGGCTCTGCCCAGCGCCTCCCAGGCCACCGCCCCGCTGCCACGCTCCTGGCCCCGCGGCTGGTGGTGTGGTCAGCAGCTGGGGAGCCGGAGGGACCCGGGGCTGGGGGCGCCAGGGGAGCCCAGGAAGGTCCTACAGTGGGCTGCTGTGCCGGGGTCAGGCCCCAGGTGCGCCAGGGCTCGCCCGGACAGACGCACCAGCACCGCAGGGCCGGGAGCAAGATGGCGCTGGGCCGGTCAGGTCTGAGGGACGGCTCCCGAGATGAGCTCGTTGTTCCCTCTGCACAAAGGTCCGAAAGCCCCCATGGGGCTCCAGAGAGACCCGCGCCGTGTGACACAAGTCCAGCCCCCGCTCCTGTCAGGCTGCCCCTCCGCAGAAACCCGGCCCAAGGCTGGATGTCGGGAGCCCAACTGGCTCCATGGCGTCCCAGGCTGCTGTGCCACGTGCCGCTCCCGGGCCCTGCCATGCCCTGGGTCACCCTGCATTTCCACGTCTGCCCCTGCCCTGGGCACTGAGGCCCGAGTCGGGGAGGGGCCTGGCTGGCAGTGCCAGGCTGGGGGGCCAGCGTGGAGCTTGGGGCTGGCACACGCCGTGGACACAGAGCACTGGGCAGGCCCAGGCCTTGGCTTCCCAGCTGGGCTCTGGACCTCCCAGCTGCCTCAGACCCCAGACCCCCCACAGGGCCCACAGGGGTCCTGCCAGGGGCGTCTGTGCCCACCAGGCAGTGGCTGGGGCTCATGTTCCTGGACAGGACTGGCGCCAGGCCCAACCTGGCCTCAAACTGGGCCCTATGGGGTCTCGAGTCTCGTTTCCGATCAGCCTGAGACCCCCGCCCCACTGCGCCATCAAAGACCTGTCCCGGCAGGCCCGGATGAGGCCCGTCACAGCAAGGCCAGGCTATCGGCCCCTCCGTGAAGGATGACGCAGGGGCTGCCAAGGCCGTGTGGCTCAGATCTGTGGCCAGCTCTGTCCTTGCTCTCCGGAGGTCCCGGCGATTGATCTTCGGGGCCGGAGGCAGGAAGAGCAGCTGCACTTCAGCCTTGGGCTGCCTGGAGGGACCGATGTCCTCGGGCGCTCAGCACAGCCTTCACGGTGTCCCGATGCCCCCCAGCCCTGTGATCTGCTCTGTTCCTTCCCGCAGCTCGGGGGGCCTGCAGCTGGAGCCCCCAACCTGGCCTTTCCGCCATGTGCCCCAGCGGCCTGCTCCGGCTGCCGCAGGGAAGGCCAGGCCGTGTGCGCGGGGCAGGGCCGGGCAGACACGGGGGAGTGGGGCCCACGACCAGCCTGGGTCGGGTGCCGAGTGTCCAGAGAGCTAGAGAGCGAGGGGCGGGCACGCTGCAGGCCGGGCTGCGTCCCATGCACAGCTGAGCGGGCGGCCTGGACGCTGCATTCGAGGCGCAGCCTGTGGTGTGGCCTGAGCGCCAGCCAGCAGCAGGGGGACCGCGCCGTGGGCTCGGCGTGGTGAACGGCAGCTCTCCAGGGACGATGCCCACCAGGACAGGGCCTGGACTCTAAGCCAGGGGCACGAGGGCATCAGAGGTGGGCGGGCAGGGACGCCAGACCTGGCTCCTCTCCGCCAGGGTTAGCCAGACCCAGTCCGTGGGAAAACTGCCTTTTGTTTTTTTCAAGCAAGGAAATGTCAACGCACAATCCCGGACAGTGGTCTGGGGTGGCAGGGACAGAATGGGTGAGGCCCAGAGCTCAGGCTGGGCGGTGCAGGTGTGGGGCTTTGTCACCTCTTCCAGTGAATGAATGAACGAATGAATGAATGAAGCGAAAGAGGCAGCGAGGGCCGGACGGCCGCTTCCTGACGCGGGCAGCCAGCGCCCGGCATGGGGCGTCCTGGCCAGCTCTGCATTCTAGAAAAGTCCAGCAGGGAGCAGCCAGGCAGGCGGCTGTGGGGATGTGGTGGAAGCCGTGGTCACAGTCGGGGAGATGCTGGACAGCAGGTCCCAGGCCTCGGTGGCTGGGGACACGGGGAGCCCGAGCAGGCCCTGCAAGGGGCAGGCGCCCGCAGGGGTGCGGGCACCCTGTGGGCCTCGCAGAGCTGGCCAGGGGGGACACGGCCACTAAGCCCCAGGTCACCTGTCCCGGCTGGGGAAGAGCAGACGCGGTGGCTGAGGAGGGAGGATGTGGAGGAAGCTCTTGGGGGCTCTTTCGAAGCTGTGGCTGCTGGAGACCCGGGTGGGGGCGGGGGCTGCAGAGACCCCAGCAGGGAGGGGCTCACGGCGCCCACCGGCCCTTCTCCCCCGAGGGAGCAGGGCTCCCCCGAAATCACTGATGGCCGGCGGGGGGCGGGGGACGCACCAGGAGAGCCCTTGAAGCGCCTTGTTATGCCGGAAAGTGCAGGAGTGGTCAAAACAAAAATAAAGTAATAAATAAAACGACGGGAGCGGGCCTCAAGGACAGGGACTGGCAGATTAGATAGGAGCGTTTTGATGCTGATGCTGACGGGGCCCGCGGCCTTGGGCAGGAGGGCAGCTGCGTCTTCAGGAAATGGACCGTGAAGGCTGCGAGGAGGGGAGGCGGGAGAGGGAGAGAGACAGAGAAACAGAGACGGAGAGAGAGACAGAGAGACAGGGGAGCCATAAGCGGCCGCCCCGCAGGGTGAGGCGTGTGCGGCGGACTCCGTACCATTCCTATTCTTGACACTTTTCTGTGAGCTTGAAATCATTTCCCCGAAAGTTAAACTTTTCTCCCAATGTTAAAACAATAAAATTCTTAAGCAAAAATAGATGACGTGAAAAAACAACAGAAGTTGCCGGGAGGACGGCAGGGGCCGACAGGGCAGAGAGGCGCCAGGAGTGTGTGGGAGGCCCGGGGTGGGCGGCGGGGGCCCTGCGGCGCGGGGGCTGGGGGGACGCGGCTGGGTCCGGGGCCGCGCCAGGGGTCACAGAGACGCCACTCTGCCGCCCGGGTCCTGGCGGGCGGGTGCGGAGCAGGTCTGCCCACCTCCACCCAGCCTCGGAGTGGGGGCCCACGGGACGGAGCCCCCCTCGGTGCCCGTCCAGCTCCGGTCCTCTCGGGTCCCCAAGCGCCCGCTCTGTCTGCCCCGCACCAGCCCCCGCTCACCCTTCCTCCCGGCTCCAGCTCTCGCCAGGAGCCCTGGAGCCTCAGTGCTGCTCCGGCCGGCCGTGGGCTGCTCCCCCGCAGGACCACCAGAGCAGGGCCCACTGGGCCCTCGGACCACCCAGCCGCCGGAAGTCAGCCCAGGCCACCGAGGTCCTCCAGGCTGCCCACGCAGCTGCCTCCTGCTCACCCTTCAGGGGCCAAGGCGGTCACCTCCCCCCGGAGGCCTTGCGAGAGCCCCCCGTCCCTCACGTGCCGCCGTCTCCGTGGCTCTCCCGTTCTTTCCTGGCACTGCCACTGGCTGGTTGGCTCGTTTGTTCGCTGCCCCCCTGCGCCGCCACGGGTAGGGAGACGCCATGGAGTCGGGGCCTGGTGTGCAGGGCGAGGGACCGCGGGTGACGACAGGGCGTGCGTGTGGCTGCGCGGTGTGTGGCTCTGCCACCGCTCACCCGCGTGCACCCTCCTCGCCCCGCAGGGGCTCCCTGTCCTGGTCTCTGCCACCCCCGCCCCCCGTGTCTCTCCTCACCAACGCCCCTGCCCTGACTCTGTGTGAGCTGGTCCCCCTGTGGCCCCGGGGGAGTCCAGCCTCGGAGTGTAGCTGCTCCCCGACCTGTCACCCGCCCCCCGCCCCCGGGGCCCTGCCTGCACCCCTGGGCTCCTGCCATCTCCCTCGTCCCCCACCCCACCCGGCTCCTAGGACTGTCTGGGCCCTCGGGCTGGGCTCACACGCCGCCCCAGCCGGCTCCTGAGGGCTGGGAAGGAGCCAGGCCGGGCAGACAAGCGTCCAGCCCGGTCCTGCCACCCGATGCCCCCTCCGCCCTCCGCCAGGCCCCCAAATCTCTCCCCTCACACCCCAAACAACATGGGCTCCCCCACCGCAAACCAGAGGTCATCAGGTGAACCCAACGACACCGCCCCTCTTCCCAGAGCGGCCCACGTCCCCAGCACGTGTCCTCCCGGCCTCCACTGGGTCACTCTGACCCCACCAAACAGCCGGGACAGCACCCAGACTCTCTGACCGCACCGCTGTACCCTTGGCCTGTCCTCTCCTTGGGGAAACTTCCAGACTGAGCCTCTTCCCACAAGGTTCCCTTGTCCCTCACGGTCCCCCAAGTAGCCTCACTTGTCCCCAGTCTGTCGGCTCCCTCCGCCCTCCACTTGCCAACCTCTTGGCCGTTTCACCCTACACGGGACGCGCCCAAGCGTCGAGCTCGGCCCTGTCCTGATGTCTGTCCGACCTGCCCGGCCCCTCGCGGGCCTGTCAGTCACGTCCCCGTTGGTGGTCTTCTCTTTGTTCTTTGCTCTCGGGGCAGGGCCCAGGCCCGATTCCCAGCTTGCCGGTGGCCACGGCCCGTGGGAGGGGGGCTGAGCAGCACCAGGTCGCGTGCAGGGAGCGTGCGCCACCCCAGGGCCCGGCCCCGCCCCGTGGCAAACCCGCCAAGCATCCGTGAGCCCGGGGGCGGGAGTGATTCGAGAGGGAGAAGCCCCTGTGTGGGCCCGTCCCGCCCGTGTGCTGCTGCCAGCGCCTCCTTCCCGGGCCTCTGCTTGCGACGGCACCCGGGTCACTGCCCCGCACAGCGGGTCTCCTGGGCCACCGTGGCGGGAGCCCCGGGCACTCTCACGCTGCTTCCCTTGGCACTGGGGCACACACCTGGCAGACAGGTGCATCTGTGCACTCAGGCCTGGCCCCCGCAGCCCCCCTGCCGTCCCCGTGGTCTCGCTCTCCCCTGCCAGCTGCACACAGAGGACCGGCCCGGACTCAGGTGCTCAGGGAGGAGGCGCCTGGGGGCCCAGGATGGCCCCGTACCCAGCCCCCCGGCCTGAGAATTGGACTGCGGTGAGAACGGGGCCACTTCAACCACAAGTTGGTTCTCTCCGTCCTGGGGCTGGAAGGCGGAGGTCAGGGGTCGCAGGGCCGGCTCCTCCTGCAGCCTCTCTCCCTGGCTGCCAGATGGTCACCTTCCTCCCCATGTCCTCACGTGGTTGGTCCTGCGTGTGCCCGTATCCTGGTCTGCTCTTCTTGTAAGGGCAGCGGTCCCGTGGGACTAGGGCCCACCCTGGTGACCTCATTTTAGCCTAATCCGTTCTCTGAAGGCCGCATCCCCGAACACAGTCACATTCCAGGTCCTGGGGTGGGGAGGGCTCCAGCGTGTGCGTGTTTAGGCTACGGACTCAGTGCATCGTGGTCCGAAGGCCATGCGCTCTCTCCAACACTGCAGACCCTCAGCGCACCCTTCCCTCTGCCCGCCATGCCCGCCCTCCCCCTGCAGGCCCTTGGCTGCGCCCAGCCTTCCTGGGGCCACCCCCGCCCACCCCCAGGCCCATCACGCTCCTCTGGAGGAGCCACACTGCTGACGCCCGACGGCCTGGACAGAGGTGACCCTGCCTCCGTGCCACTGGTGGGGGCCCTGCTCAGACCTCGCAGGCTGGCTGTGGCCACAGCGTTCCTGAAGCTGTTCCCACGAAGGTTCTAGAGGACCCCGTGGCCACATCGGCCACACTGTGTCTGTCCCGGGCTCCACTGTGCAGCCCGGACTGTGCTGCCCCCCTCCGAAACCCAGCCTCACCCTGCTCCTGCCCAGCCCACGCCGGCCCTACGCTGCCCTCCCTGGGGGACTCATCCTACCAGGACTTTGAGGCCACCAAGGGGCACCCCTCGACCTCAGGGGTGTCCTCTCCAGGCGCCAGGCCCCCTCTGGCCTGTGGACAACCCCGTGTCCCATGGGTGGTGCGGAGCCACCACATCTGGAAGAGGCCCTGTTGGCCCCGGATGCCACTGTCCATTTGTGCTGCTATGACAAAACACCCGAGACTGGGTATTTTTAAAGAACAGAAAGTTATTTCTTGCAGTTCTAGAGGCTGGAAGTCCACAGCCAACGTGTGCGGCAGCCCCGGTATCTGGCGAGGGCCTTTGCCCCTCACAGGGTCCCAGCTGTTGTGTCCGCGCAGAGGCGGGAGCTCGGGGCCGCCCAGCAGGTCCCTCGAGCCTGTTCAGGAGGTCACTGCCCCAGTCCCTGGGGGTGAGGCGGAGCCCTCCAGACATGGCCACCTCCCAGGGGCCCTGCCTCTTTGCACCGTCAGGCCAGCCTGAGGTGCCAACAGCTGGATTTGGAGACAGACGTTCAAACCACAGCACCCAGCCTGCTTCCTCTCTGCTCTGCTTCTGCGTGGGTGCCCGGCCTGGCTCGCTGGCGGGACTGGACCCCTGGCCTGCGGGGAGCTGCTCTGTCTCCCCCTGGGCTCCCGGAGCTCCCTCCTCTGCCCACCCCACCCCTGCCCTCACCTCTGCACCTGGCACAGCCCGCCCTCCACTCAGCACTGGGTGTCGGAGATGGCAGCGCCCAGGGAGCCCTCCCGCGGCCCCGCGGCCCCGCCCGCCTGGCACAGACCCCGGTGCCCTCCACACCCCACTAACTCATTGCCTGACTCGGTGGTTCACTTGTCCCCGCGCTGCTTGCTGGACCCTGCGCCAGATTTGGAGACAGATGACGGACACGACACGGCCCCGCGCTCCACCCGCCTCGCTTAGCGTTTCAGGAGCGAACGACACCAAGCGAGCAAAGGGTCACGTGCCTGACTCTTGGGGACTCTCAGCTCCTCAGAAGAAGGTTCTGTTCCCAGCCACCCTGCCGCCCAGCGGGGGCCACACGCTCTCAGATGCTCGGGGGCTTCCCGTGGTCCCCCCCGGAACGCCACCCCTGCCCACGCCGGCCGGTCCAGGCTGGTGGCAGGAGCTCGGCCCAGGCGGAGGGGTGAGGAGGGCAGCGCCAGGTGTCTGGGAAGCCTGCGAGTGGTTTGCGCAGCACGCAGCAGGAGGGACGGGTGGCGGGAGGAGTGCGTGCTCGGGGAGGGGGCTCAGGCAGAGCCCAGCGCACAGCTCTCCCTGGCTTCCCTTCCTTCTGTGGCGCCGGAGGGAGGGCGCTCGTCTGACGGGCACGTGGAGGGGCCCAGGGAGGGGCAGCTGCATCCGGGCCCCTTAGCACCCCCTCCGTAGGGCCCCCCAGAGCCCTCAGAGCCTCGAGTGTGGCCGGTTCCATAAACCCTGGTGTTCCTGCAGGCAGGGAGGGGCTCCCCCTACTCTGGGGCCCCGGAAGGGGCCGGGGCCTGTGTGCTGGCTGGGTGTCTGGTGGGGCCGCAGCGAGTGCCATGCCCTGGGCGGGTGAACAGCAGACGTTCAGCCCGCACCTCTGGAGGCCACGTGGGGGCAGGGCCGGCTCCTTCCAAGGCCCTAAGGAAGAGCCTGTCGCAGGCCTCCCCAGCACCGCGGCCTCTCTTCCCATCTCTGCTGTCACCCCGACCTCTGCCTTCGTCGTCATGTGTGTCCTTCCTGTGTGCGTGCGTGTGTCCACATTTCCTCTTTCTGTAAGGACACCCGTTGTCCCCGCCCCCGCCCCGGCACCATGACCTCACCCTCACCAGTGCCGTCTGCAAGGGCCCCATTTCCAAATACGGTCGCGTTCTGAGGTCCTGGGGGTTAGGGCTTCAGGACACGAGCTCTGGGGCAACAACCCGGCCACAACGGGGGCCCAGGCCCTGTCCCCGGCCTTGGAGGATGGGGATAGGCAGAGGGCAGGGACACACCCTCCAAGGGCCCTGGGGTAGGTCACACCTTGACCCCAGGCCTTTGGATTGGATTTTATCCTTGGGCAGCTCTGGCACCGTGGGCCTGGAGGGCCCCGAGTTTGGTTTCATGCCCTGTGGCTCCCTCCTGAAATTCTTAGTTTTTGAACCAGAGAGTTTGGCATTTTCATTTCGCTTTGGCCCCTGAAAATGAGGCAGCTGGTCCAGCCTCCGGGCAGTGACTTTCGAGACTTTCAGGACAGGGTAGGACGCCAGCTGCCATCTGCCTCCCTCTTCCTGGCGTGGCCCCCAGCTTCCCAGCCAGGAGGGCGGGACCTTCTGCCGGCCGGAGGAAGGACCCGAGGGTGGTCGGCCTGGGCATGACAACCGCCAACGAGGCCCCGGGAGCCGGTGGGGTACAGGGGCCTGGGCCCCCCCATGCGGATGCACTGGGCCTCGTGGTGAGACCTCTGCGACCCCACAATGGTCTCAGACGTAGGCCGAGAACTGCCAGACTCGCCCGTGCCTCCGCTCTGCCCGCCAGGCCCCGTGGGGGCTCCTGGGGAGGGGACACAGGAGGAGGCAGGAGGACCAGGCCAGGCTGCCCGACACTTGCTGGGGTGGGGCGCTCCTCCCTCCGTCTTTGCTCACCCCTCTCAGAGTGTGCGGGCAGGGCGGGGCTTTGCTGCCTCCTGATGGGTGACACCTCTGGGACCTGCGGCCTTCCCTGCCCCCCAGGCTCTCTCCCCTCCTCTTTGCCTGGGGACCCCTTCGAGTCCTTCCTGGTTGGATTCCCCAGGGCTGCCCACAGGCTAGGGCACGGCAAGATGGCGCCGGGGCCTGCTCCTTCCCACCCCCCGGGCTGAGGAACTCGGCCAGGGCAGCCTCCGTCACTCCAGGGCTGCCCCTGTAACGCCACAGCCCCAGCGCCCCAGCTTTGGGGTCCGGGCCCACAGCCGCCATCTCTCTTCATGGCCCCAGCGCATCTGTCTGGCCACCGCTACAGCGGGGGGACAGCAGAAGACCCCGATCCAGCCCTGCATCCGCCAGCACTGGCCGGGAGAGCCCCCCAGAGACAGGGCAGCTGCCCAGGTGCTGGGAATAGGAAAAGGGCTCCAGACAGCGCGGGACGAGACACCAGACGTGTGGGACGTGGAAGCATTTCGTGGGGTGTCTGAGGCCGTGGCCCCGAGGCTCTGAGTGGATGTCCCACCAGGTTCTGTGGGCGCGTGCAGAAGACGGGCCTCGGGGGAGCCCCCTCCGGAGAGGGCCGAACACTCCACACAAATGCTGCAGGGAGAGCCCCCCACTGCGCTCGAGTGAGCGTGGCCGCCAGGGCTGCCAGCAGGGACCCAGGAGGAGCGTGCGGAGCTGCCTGACCCCACCTCAGCCCTCGCCCCCGCCCTGCCACCCCAGGCCCTGCGACTTGCTTAACGCTTCCTGATGGGTGGTTTGGTTTTCGGTTCTTTCCTCTCCTCTTGCAGCAACAGATTAAAAAACAACACCCAGCCCGAGTCCCCGTAAGGTTCCAAACCTCAACCTGCAGCCGGAAGGGGAAGCGAAACCCGGCGGGAGGTGGGGGCCCGGCCTGCCACCCCAGGAAGCACCGACAGCCACACGGAACCGGTCCAGCGCCCTGTGGGCCCAGAGAGACGCAGGCCGATGGCGGAGGCTCTGAACGACCCCGGCTCTGAGGAGCAGGAGCAGTTGCTAGGGTAAGGGTCCGCGGCGACGCATGGCGCTCCGCGCCTCGTCCTGGGTGTGTGCGAGGGCGGTTCTTACCGCGGAGACTGGCTACCCAGTGGGGGAGCACAGGGACGCGGACAGGTGGCCGGGGGTCTTCCTGGGCCCCGCTCCCCACGGTCGCGGATGTCCCTGTCTGCCTGTGCAGCACAGACTCGCCAGGGCAGGAAGGTGCCTCGGTGAGCGCGTGGGGTCCTGAGCCCAGGAAAGGAGGGGCGGGCCCAGGGCACGGCCGGGCAGCGTGGGGGAGAGTGGGGGCCACATGCTAAGGGGCCAAGGGAAGAGGCGAGGTGGTTGGGGAGGGCCGCGGCCCCTGGTCGCCCCACAGGCCTGTCTCGCAGGGGCTGCTGGGCCTTAGACCCCACAGCCTGCGGTGACGGAGACCACCGGGATCCCAGCAGACGCGGTGCTGGGCTCCAGGCCCTGCGCTGCCAGTCGAGGGGGCGTGAGGAGGGCGGGGGCAGAGGCAGCGTGGGTTGTCTGCAAAAGGGGCCATAGACTGCCCCCGCCGGAGGCCTTCTCAGGAGGCAGCTGTGCACCGCAAAGCCATGGGGCACCCACGCCTGCGCTAGGGTCGTGGCAGAGGGTCCCCCGTGGGGAGAGCTGTCCCGGGCAGGCACCGAGCCTGAGCCACGCCAGGAGGGCCGAGCTGCCCCAGGAGAGATGGGCGTGGTCAGAGCTCGGGGCCAGGCAGGGCTCTGAGGGCCGGGGACGTGCTGAGGGTTGGGTGGAAGAGCCTGGGGTAGGGATGGAGGCTGGGACAGGACAGGGGGCTGCTGCCAGGCAGGGAGGGAAGGCGCCCAGAGCCACGCTGGTCAGGCGAGCGGAGAGGCTCAGAGCAAACGCTCTTGTGTCCGGAGCTGGGCAGGGCCGGCCGCCCCGGGGAAGCTGACCTGCAGGTTCCGCGCTGGGGCTCGGTGCGGGCCCTGCCTGAGCAGCCCCTGGGCTGTCTTAGAAAGCGGGCTCTGGCCGTGGCTCTCTTGTGCTGGAGGCTGGCGGCCATGATGCCTCACGGAGCCCACGATGACGTCCTTGGGGCTGGCACACATGGCAGAGGAGTCTGGGACGTGGGACAGAGGGGAAGGCCGGCTGCACCTCGGCCTTCCCGGGGCCAAATCCCCTTCAGGTGCTCGTGCTGAGGGTGCTGCTTTGGGGACCCACGTGTGGGGGTAGAGCAGAGGCTGAGCAGAGGCCACCGCAGCAGGGCCGGGTCAGCGTGCGGGTGCCTGGCTGGGCCGTGGGGCCACACTGCCCCTTGGAGAGGCTCCTTGGGGCCTGTCCCCTGGGAAGGGTTGGAGGATGCCCCGCCCAGGGAGCGCACCCTGGGGGGACCCCGACCTTCGCGGGGAGACGGGCTACTGGGCGCACCAGCAGGTGATCGGACAACAGCTGTGCCCGGCTCCGAATCGGCCCCTCCCGCGGTGCTGCCTCCAGCCCTGGACTCCGTGCGCCTCCCAGCCACCTCGTGCCCATAGAAGGGCATGGCGTGAGCAGCCTGGCGGGCACCCGCCTTCCCCCTCGGCCCCATCCTTAGCCACCCCGCCCAGCTGTCCGAACGCACGGCAGGGGAGCGGCACAGCCAAGGCTGCCTGCGGCAGGTGGGCCTGGCCCTGGGGCGTCTTGGTGCAGATGGGGGTCTGGCAGCTGGGTCTGTGGGGCGCTCCAGCCGGAGAGCTGGGGGCGGCCCCTCGGCCCTCGGACACCCCCACCCCCACTGCACGCAGGGGAAGAGCACGGCCGACCTTTCAGAGTGAAACCGAGACCCGCAGGGCGGGCAGGCTCTCATTTCACAGGGTGACTCAGGGAACGGGGTCTTCCCGTCCGGGGGCAGAGAAGTCCCCAGCACCAGGCAGGGGATGTGTGCCTGGGAAGCCCCTGCCCGGGGATCCCCAGGAAGGCCGAGGCTGTGCAAGGTCAACCGGGGCTGGAGGGAGGCAGATGAGACCCCCGCGCTGCCCCCCACCAGGGTCAGGACAACAGCTGGGAGGGGCTGGGACAGCCTCTCACTGCAGACCGAGGGTGGGCTGTCCCCCAAACCCCCATAGGACCGTCCCTCTCACGGGGCAGGTCTCTGCTGCCCTCCTGGGCCCGACAGGTGGGCTGTGGCTCCTCCCCTGGGGCGCTGGCGCCCCGCCCTGGCTGCCCAGATGATGGGTCATTAGTGTGTCCTGGTCCCTGGCGGCCGCTGCGTGGCATTTCCACAGGGCTGCCTGTGGCTTTGCAGGGACTCACTGGAGTTGCTGAGGGAACCCCTGGAGCAGGGCTCACCCCACAGTGAGGGGCGAGGCCGGGGCTGTAACCCAGTTCACAGTGGGGCTGGGTCGGGACGTCCCATGGGCCTGCCAGCCAGCAAGTCCGACCTGGAGCCCCAGCTCTGCGGGGGCCCCTCCCTGGGGCCAGCCCCCGCTGCCCTGGCCCCCGCCCCATGCCCACACCCAGAAAGTAGGAGCCCTGCCCCCCAGACAAGCTGGCTGCCCTCAGGCTGTCCCCATCTACCTGGACAGCCTGGCACCTGCACATGCAGCCTGTGCCTCCCACGCAAGGAACCGTTCACGTGTAGGCAAAGTCCACACCCCAGGGGGCATCCCAGGCCCTTCTGCCTCCCTGAACTCCTTTCCTTCCGTGCCTGGCATTCCCACCTCTGCCCGGTTCTGGAAGGTGCCAAGGCAGCCGTGGGTCCTCTGCATGTGCCCTGCCATCTCCCCCAGAGCTGAGCCCCTGGCACCCCCACGCCTCCCACGGCACCCTGTGCTGGGCTGAGCCCGGAAGGGCAGGGATGGCCTAGGGGGTGCCTGGCAGGGCCCCTTGTGGGCCACCTGTCCCTGTAGACCCTCTGAGCTCCAGGTGCTGCAGGAGGGCGGGGCTGAGTCCGTGGGGAGACCAGGCGGCCCCTGGGAAGCCTTCCTCTGGGGCTGGGAGCACACAGGATGGAACCCCCCAGCACCAGGCCCCCAGGCAGCCCTCCCATAGCCCTGTCCTCCGAGCAGGCCGCACTCCCTGGAGAAGGCACAGTGCTCTAAGCCGGGACCACTTGGGAGGGAGGTTGGAGCTGGGAGAGTCAGGGGGAGCCCCCCAGGCCCAGTCCCGGCCCTGGCAGGAGGCTGCTGAGGGAGGCAGAGCTGGGGGCAAGCACTGCGGCCCCCTCCCCAGGCCTGCCTGGGCTCCAGACCTGAAGGCAGCAGCTGGAGCCAGGTCAGGCCTGGGATCCCCGGGTGGGCCTTCTTCCTCCTCCCCCGGGTCAGGGGTGTTCGGTGCCCGGAAATTTTCCAGGGCACGGGGAGGCGGGGGCGAGCCCGGCCGGACGATGGGTGTCTTCCTCCTGCGCCAAGGCCGGTGGCTGCTGTGTCCCTCCCATCTGGGCCCCTCCATGTCCCCTCCTTGGGGCGGGGAGGGGAACGGACACCTCACACACACTGGGGCCCCCCTCCCTGCTGATTCTGGAACCAGAAATCCTTCCCGCCGTCCCTGCCCCATCCTGGTCCCGCAGGTACAATCCTGGAGCCACACAGGCAGTCCTGGGGGCCTCAGGGACCGACGGCCCAGAATGGGGGGGGGCCCTGGCTAGGTGGCACCTTAGGTCAGCACAGAGGCTGCCCTCCCCTGCGCTACCGCACCGGCCAGGCTGCCTGTGCCTCGGTTTCCCTGAGAGGGTGCCAGAGGGATGGCTGGGTCTCCGCAGCAGAAAGGGCCGGGTGGCGGTGCCCGTGCCCTCCCCCGAGTGCTGTGGCTGGCGAGGGCGGGGCCGTCGCTCTGCTCTGCTCTCTCAGCCCTGAGACCCCGCTGCTGGGGGGTGTGCACAGCAGCCCCCGGGCGCACCCCAGGCGCACCCGCTGCAGCCCTGTCTGGGACGTTCTGGGTGAGAGGCCTCAGTTGGTGCGTGCGGTGAGCTGGCTGGGCACCCCCAGTGGGTGCTGGGTAAGCCCACATGCAAGCCCGCCGCCCTGCACTCGGGCTGCTGGCACCAGGGTGGGGGGCTCAGGGCACAGCTCAACCAGCACCCTCAGGGCCTCCTCGCAAAGCAGAAATGGAACCGGGTGCTGCCGGGACCAGCAGGGCCCTGGGCTTCCCTCCCAGCCCAGCCCCAGCCTCTTTTCAGGGCCTTCTAAAGATCTTCTGGGAGGGGGGCGGCCAAGGACCACCAGGCAGCCAGCAAAGGGGGTCCAAGTGCCCCTGAGGCTGACGGAGTCAGGCCCCCTCTTGGCAGCAATGCCTGAGACCAGACAGAAGGCAGGCTGCAGGCTGGCCGCCCCCGCCAGGCTCTTTCCAGCCAGCCCAGCCCCCACCCCGGTACCGCGGGCTGGGAGAAAGGGGCTGAGGGGCTGCGGGGGCTGCGGGGTTTACAGGAAAATAGGGAATTGAGAAAATCAGGCCTCCCAACCTGCCCAGCCCAGGACGGCCCTGCTGGTGCCAGACACAGGCAGATAAGAGGGGGCGGCAGGCGCTGAGGGTGGGTGGAGGAGGAAAACCCCTGGCCCTGTCTTGGGCCCAGGCCAGTCCTGTCCAAACTCCGTCTGCTAACTGCCTCCAAGTTGGAAATGTGTCAGCTGGTGGGGGAGGGGACTGTCTGATCCCACTGGTGGCAGGGAGGGGCCGTCTGGGAACCCGGGAACTGCCTCTGCCCCCGTTGGAGCCACGCACCTCCCCGAGCAGGAATGGGAAGGCACTTGGAACCTGAGCCTGAGCCTGAGCCTGGAGCAGGGCAGCTCTGGGGGGGGCTGCCTAGGGGCATCCCCAAACATGGCACAGCTTTACACCACAGCCCTTCGGGGCCCAGGCTCCCGGTTGCAGGGAGCACCCACACACACGGGAGTGTCTGAGTGTTGGGGAGACCCCGTCTGCCTGGGGGAGGGAGTGGCATGGTGCTACCCCCAGTGCCCCTCCCAGAGTCCCCACTTCCCCAGCTGCCACATGGGCTGCGCAGAGGGAGTCACTACTCTGCTCCGTCCAGATATGGCTCCTTCCTGCTACCAGG